CTGGTCTTGAACTCCTGATCTCAGGTGATCCACCCACCTTGGCCTCCCACAATGCTGAGATTACAGGCGTGAGCCACCACGTCCGGCCCTGGCATCAACTCTTGAGACCAATCCCTTGGCTGCCCAAGCATACCCCACTCCCACTTCATTTGGGTAAACCACTGTTGGTCTCATCTTTAGTACACAGAAGATACACGTTCATGACAGGAAAATTAGAAATATACGAAAGAGCAAAATATTTTGGTGTATATCTTTGCAAATTTTTCCCCTGTACATTTTTATGTAAATATAATTTGAGTTAGATGACACCATCATACGCATCCTGCTTTACAGGCTGCTTTTCACTGAGTGATGTATAGAAGCTGTACACAGTACAGGTTTACAAAGCATGTTAAATACTACATGTCTCAGTATGATTTGTAATAACTGCATAGTATTTACTTGAATGGATAGACTATAATATGTTTAACTATGACTGATGGGCATGTAGATTATTGCCACATTTTCACCATCATACTCAACACTGTGATGACACCTGTCTCATATACCTCTTTGTTGTACTCGTGCAATTTCTTCCTCAGGCTACTTGGCGGTGGGGGGAATTGCTGGACCAGCGGGCCTGCCCTTAAGCCTTTTGATACATACAGAAACTCAACCTGTCGAAAGATTCCTGCTTTCCCTTCCCACAAGAGCCACCAGGAAGCCACTTCTGGAGGGGTCCACATTCCATCCTCCAAGGCTGCTTACATCTGTAGCAAGGGTCTTCCTGGCTGTCACTGAGTGCAGGGCCACTCTGCCCTGCTGTCTGTAAGGGCTGGACAAAGGGAGGGGGCGGTGGGTCTGGGAGGAGACCTAGGTCCCAGCAGGGGTCGGTGGCTTCAGGCAGTCACTCCCTGGTGGGGTGTGCTGGGCTGTCACAGGGTGCCTGGGCCTGATCCTTGTTGAGGATGGGGGAGGAGCAGGGCTTGTCTGGGAAGACTTGGGTCTGCAGGTCTGTGCCTGGCTGTTGGAGTTAGGGGAGGGGAGCGCCCAGTAGGAGCAGGGCTGGCCTCGACATGCTGGGCCCTGAGGGAGAAGCAGGGCTTAGGCTGGCAGGAGTTGGAAGGGCATTTCAGCTGGGTGGATCAGCATGAGCCAAGGCACAGGCATTCACCTGGCAGGGCTACCTTCCAGGGACTCCAAGGCACATGGTCTGCTTGGAGCACAGTGTCGGCATTGGGGGGGAAAGAGGCTGACTCAGGGGACTGGTGATTTTGCTCCCAGTCTGAGAAACAGTGGGGAACCATCCGGTGCTGACTGGGAATTGAAGGCTGGTGTGGGCCAAGTGGGATTAGAGACCAATGAGTGTTGCCTGGAAGAGGCGCAGATAAAGGCAGCAGGCCAGGGACCAGGGAGGAGGTCACAAGGGATTGTGGCCTAGACCAGTGCAAATTGGAGGGAGAAGCCAGCTCAGCAGATGGGATGTATATTCCAAACTCATTTGGAGTATAACTCATTTGGGGTGCCCACCCCACCCCATCCCATCCCATCCCATCCATCCCATCCCATCCATCCCATTCCATCCATCCCAT